GTCACAGAAAACTCACCACGAAGAGAGGCTGATGTACGTTGAATCTGTGAAGGCTCTTAAGTCCTTCCGTTAGCGGGTTTGGAAGTTAGGAGAAGGGTGGGCGCCTGGTCAGGTGCAATACTGGTCATTTGACTGTGATTCGAAATAACGAGGTCCGTCACCAATAACTCTCGTGTTGCTTTATTTCGCGACATAAATCAAATTCAAAGCGATAATGTTAATTTTTTATTCATTAAATCTCACTAGACTTTAGTCATCATATGGTACATTTATTAACACAGCATAGAGAAACAACAACGAGCCTAGGGGCGAGAAACTTTGTAATTTTGAAGCTAGTCAAATAACAAGAAAGATACTTAAGCTCTCACCCCCCCCCAACTATGTTTACTCCACGCCTAAGCGAGGTTTTTGAGCCCCTACAAATTGAAAATAAGAGTGTACACGCAAGAATATTTTATACACAAACGGTTCATAATATCGTATCGCTTTTTAACGCAGTGCATTATAAGTAGATTGTTAGTTAAAATTTTTATGCTAATAAATAGACTTTTAAGGCCGACCGTTTGATGATCGTCGTTGACCTTGAGCACTTCTTGAACTGTCAGAAAGAATTGTTCGAAGTTTTGAATGTGAGTATTGCATAAGGTGAGGAATTGAAATATCTAAAAATTAGGGCATGTTTCAATTGACTTTCTTTTTATTCCCCTCACTGCATTTGATACTTAAAAAAATTAATACTACTTAAAAAATTTCAATTTTTGGAATAACAAGAAAATTTTCTTTTGCTTGATGGAAAGAGTTTTGATAATTGCTGCAAAGCTAATTTTATACCATGGAATGTCTGAGAAACTCAATTAACACTAAGAGAATGGCTTTTAAATCCTTAATAACTCACAAATCTTCATGCGGAGTCTAACGAAATTTTAAATTTATATTCCTTTGATAAGAAACGAGAGAGAGATGCAGATTTTTCGAAATTATTTTATTCTTACATACTAATCTATAATTCCTTTAAAATTTATGAACATTAATATAAATTATGTTCATTTTCGATGATAGTTTTGAGGGAAAGTTAAGGATTTCCTGTATATACATACTGTTGCGGAAAGTTCGCTTCTCTGCCGAAAGGGTATTGAGGCCGGAAAAAATATTTGTAGGAAAAAGTGAAAACTTCCTTGATAATGCTAGTCAGCAGGAGTGATCTTGGCGAATGTATTTGTCGTCAAATTTGACGGTAAAAATATAGACGTACCTACAAGAATTCAAAAGTTCTGAGGTGATTATCTGTTGAGACAATTTTAGAAGCCTCCAGAAAGCTCTTCCCTGTCTTTTTATGGACTATGCAGAGAAGCAGCATTGGAGTAAAATATTTAACGATGTGTATGTTTCATTTGTTTTTTGTAAAATTGTGGTTACGTATTTAAATTCCTGTGCTAAATATTTGTATGATTTTTTAAACCTGTGTTATATTGTACATTTCTTATTATTGAATTTGAAAGACGATTAACCTTGTAATTATACATATATTCGAATCATAATGTGACCACTTACTTAATATTTGGAATAGTCTTTTTTTTTACACGTAAAAGTTAGGTGTTGGGTCATGGACTAAGTGTGCGCATGGAGATTTGCTACAAGATTCTTTGATGATGAGAACAGCAAAGCATCACGTAACTCTGGAAGATTAAAAAGTAGCGAATCTTTTGCTGATCTGCCAAATCAGAAGTTTCTAAATCCTTCTCAGCAATTTAGATCTGGGGAATTTGGTGACCACGATAGTAATTGAAAGTCACAAACGAGACCCATCCAAAAAAAAAACAATGAAAAAAAATTTCTTCCACTGTTTTACAATCTAATATTTGTATTGCAATGCAAAATCACAATGTTTTTTAAGATGAACACTTGTCAAAGGAATGCTGCAATCAGGGACGTCTTAAGGCTCTAGACCCCCTACTCAAAAGTAGGCCCTGGGGCCCCTACACAAATATAAGCCCCCCTATGACCCTTAAGAATAGACAGCACACAGCATACGTTGTCATATTTATACAAACAGTAACCCAAAACAAATATACAGGACTTGCAATCACACAATCCGGCTCGACCGACTGCTGCCTTTTGATTGCATGAGTAATGATGGTGTATGGGGGTAAGCCTAGGCCTGTACGTGGACGACGGTCATCACATGTAGCCAGTTGCCATATCGTCCAAAATTCCCAGTTCTTCGGACAATACAACCGGAAATAACATTTGACCGTCGAAATTATTCGAGTTGGGATCTTATGGTTGAGTCGAGAACGAGACGAGGCCAGTAGCGCACGCAAAAACTTTTCAAGAGGGGATTCCATAGTCGAAAGTCCCCCAGCTCCTATCATACCTCAAGACAAAACCAATGGATTCTTCTGATTTTGTCAACAAAAAACAGTAAAAAATAAATTATTGAATGATTAATTAGCATTAATTAATAAAATAAATTGTTAATTACAAGTATTTAATTAAATTTTGCGTTATATATATATATGTAGGATTATCATCAATCGAGAAAAACTCAAGGGAGTGTCCTAGGGGGTTCGGACCCCTAGGACACCCCCTTGTGTGTGCCACAGGACGAGGCCCATGCCATAAGACGTCTCTGGCTGCAATCAGACTTAGGCAGCGGATGCCAACAAATAATAACGTGAATTACACAATTATCCTCGATAGCTTACTTGTGCATTGCTGATTCGTTTGAACTGTCAATGTATCGATGGTGTCTTGTCGGATCAATCGCGATGCTCACCCCTTTCATTAATTGCCCTTGGTGCCCCGCATTTTCTACGCCATGACTGCAAAAAAAATCACGTTCATTTTTCCATTCATTTTATACAGACGCAATAGCACTATGCGAACATTTCAGAAATGATTCCCTGGGACGTTTTAAGGCAGGGGTCAACTGGGTCCGGGCTTCGTCTCCTTCTCGACTCTGTCTCAATGAGATCACGATCCGTACGATTTTAATCGTCAACTGTTATTAAGGATACAATCTCCGAAAAACTGGGAACTTGAAATTATATGTCAATTGGAGACAACGATATATATATATATATAAATCTAAGAATTGAAAATATATTAAAAATGTAAATTTTAAGAATATTAAAATGCAGAAAAAAAATTTCTAATTAGGTCTCATTTTATTATAGATTGCTTTTGTTGAACTTTTCATGCATAATACATCACATTCGATGAAAGAGTAGTAGGTGGGGCTTACTTTTGCCGAGGGGCCGGGGAGTAAGTAAGTAAGTTAACTTGCTTGATTTGTCCATTGAGACAACTTCTACTAAATATACATGCTTTTTAATTATCTTTATGCATGTTTCAAACAACAGGTTTGCCCACACGTCATACCTGTGATTATGAATAAACATGTTACGATTCATAAAAAAAAAAAGAAAGAAAGAAAATCTTTGATTTAATGGTTTTTACAATTTTTTTTGCTTGTAACCAATGCATATGGATTAAGTAAAACGTTCTTTGTACTCAAAGTATTACAAAAGACTAACCATTTAATTTTTTTAAGAACAAATTTAAATATCCGAGGGATTTTAAAGTGCTACTCCTCCTACAAAAATTGACATACACACGTGAAATTTGATTTACAAATTCTTCAAACTATGTATAACAAAAGTTGGTATGTGTTTGGGGCTTGCATGATTGACATATGCAAAACGGTTCTTTTTTCTGAATGCTTATTGAAAAAGTCATTAAAAAATGCGCAAATTCTAAATTCAACTATTTTTTTAAAAAGTATACGTATTGTTCTGATTTATAAAAAAATGCATATCAACTCCTGTTACATGTACTAACAGCAATAGGTAAAAAAAAAAATTAAATTTCAAAGCATTTGGTACAACAGAAAAGAGGCCTTAGCATTTTAAATGAAGATAAATGAGGAGGGGGGGGGGGTCCCCAAGATAAATTCGTTTAAAGTTTTTATTTGCCATTGGGATGTGAATAAAAGCGAACATAAAAGCTACAGTAACTCTGATTTTTTTTTAACTTAAGAGTTTTCAAATTTTGTGAGATTATAGAAAATTATATAAAGAATAATTTAAGCTAAAAATTTTTTTTTAAATTTTTGACCGATTTTTATCTATTTAATCTGTTTCCTTAAACGGAGTTATAATAATATTATGATTCAACTAAATATATATATATATATACATGATTAGAACTATTCCATATACTCTCTCCATACAATAATCAATTAATTCAATCTTTTGAAGTCAATTTGGTATAAAGATTAAGCTGTGTTCGCGTAGATTTTTTTTAAAACTTTATTTCTACTCTTTTAAACCTTTCATTTAATCAGAATGAGCTATGAAAAATTTTCCCGGATTTAATTGAAATAACATCGAATTTTAACTCGACATCTTTTGAAAGTAAACGTATTACTTACTTGATGCAGTAGAAAGAAAGGAAGTGCGAGAATCTTTGTCTCAATAAAAGAAGAGTAGGCGTTTTGCAGTCTTAATAAAATTTGTCACATGAACTTAATTTAACTATGACTAATGCTAGCTGGAAAGATAAAAATTCGCAATCAACAGAACTACTTCATTTTTATGCCACACTTTATTGCCATTCTCTATTTACAAGAATTCCTCACGATGGTATGACACAATTTTTCTCGGAGGGGAAGGAGTTTTTATCGTCAAATGTTAAAATGGAATTCTCATTTTACATAGCGATATTAAAAACAAGTAATATAAAAAAACCTTTTTATGTCAATTCCTACTTTAGTCAACGAAGAAACATTTTATTTTAGTCACTTTCTAGTAAATAGTTATAATATATATATATATATATATATACACATATGACAGAATGACAAAATAGAAAGCGATTATCCTTGAAATTTTCCATTTTCTTCTCTATATATGGTTTTGGACTAATTTTTGTTTGTTACTATTTATTTATTCTAATAAAATAGTATAGTAAAAAAGAAATCACAGTCTCAGAAATTAAGCCATATCAGGTGGAATTGGAAACCACGAACTTTGGATTGGAAGTTCAATGCGCTCGCTGTCCATTGCGTTACAGGAACACAACGAATGATTTTCCTTTCTATATATGCTGCTGGACTATTATTTTTGTTTGTTACTATTTATTTATTCATTTTTTTAAAATAATTAATGAAATAATAATTGAAAAAACTGTATTACACCAAGTGTCATCCACTACAATTTTAAAAAATGTATTTGAACTTGTGAATGGATGAAAGCAAGTATTTTATTAACGTTTGAAAATTTGAACAAGATATATGAATATATATATATATATAGATTATATATAAGGAGAGTGTGAACTATAATAGTAGGAATTGAATAATGTAATGTTTTTTTTTTCGAAGAGAGACCTGTGACGGTTCTTGTCCTTGCATATAACCCGTGCCATAGTGCTGTAAGTAACACAATAAAACTTCAATGAGATTTCCGTTTACATTTGGCTTATATTAGAATCATTATTTGATTTTAATTTACATCGCGCACTGAAAAAACGCGAGGGTTATTGGCGATTGACCTCATACTTTTGAACTACTGGTTGAAGTGACGAGGACGACACCCTGAACTAGTACTCCACTCTCCAAACTTCCAAATCCCACCGATGAAGGACTTTGAGCCTCGATTGATTAAACGTGCATTCACATCTCTACATAGCAGGTCTTTAACGGCTACAGGATTCGAATACTAGATTATGTGAAATAAATGTTTTTGCCCAATATTGAGAATTTTATCAAAACCGTAAATATCGAGAATATTTCTGGGCTATAACTACATCTTTCTTGCTCTGAAATAAATGCAATTGAAATTATGACAGATTCATATTAAAGAAGAAGTTTATGCGTGGACTTTTTAGTTATGAGAAATCTGAATACTAAATAAATGCAAAAAATAATAACAAACAAATAAAATCAATTTCATGGTGATTTTTTAAAGAAAACATCAATATTTCTGTGTGTGTGGTATTAAAAATTCTTTAAAGTTTTTATTTTTATTGTTTAGGATTATAATATATAGAGATAATATATATTTTAGTCTCAAATCGGAGAAAGTGGTTGAGTGAATGTTAATGCAGCACTATTCAGCTACTCGAGGGCTTTTGGCGATGGTCCTCGTAATTTTGAACCATGGTCAAGTGACGAGGCCGACACCTGAGCTGGCACCCCCTCTCCAAACTACCATACCACATCAACAGGAAGACATATGAGCTCTCAACAGATTAAACGTGCATCACTCCCCCACACGACGGGTCTTCAGGGGCATTAGGCTCGAACTAATGACATGACAGCCACGAGTCTGTTACCTTGACCACTAGGCTACTACGGCCCCTGAGAAAGTGGGAGTAACGATGCAAAAAATAGTACTTTCCACCCAAAACAGAACATTTGGTATAAGAAAACGTTCGTATTAATTTGTTTCAATTATTATTATTATTAAAATGCAGTTTTCTAGTCTATTTCAAAATAAATATTTCTGCTTTTGTATTTTGTCTCTCTACTCATAATGAAAGAAATCGTGTATATTTATAAAAAGTGTAAAAGATGAAAAAAAAAAAAAGCAATTATATCAATGCATTTTTAAGGGGAGGAGGAGGAAGGGACTGAATTACAGCTACTATATGGAGCAATACTACGAATTTTATTGACATCAGATACATACAATGGAGTAACGTACACCCCTGCATTGCGGGTTAGGGGCAGAATTCTTGGGGGTCCAAAACCTATGTTATCTTAAAGTTTTGCAGTGCTTTGTAAGATCCGATTTGGGGTCCAAAACCTGACTTTGCAAGGGGTGCCCCTAATATTCTCCGTTACGTCACTTAAGGCAATTCTCTAACGCATGGCGTTGAAAACACAAAGGAGTGCAGATGACATTTTCAGACACTGGGCAGTTCTCCAGACCAACGGGGCCAACCTTTTAGAACTTTACGGACCACACTAAATGTAGAATTTTATATTTGACAAACCACCAGTGGTGTAATGTACACCTCCGCATCGCGAGGCAAGGACAGAATTCTTGGGGGTCCAAAGCCCTATGTTATCTTAAGGTTTTGCAGTTCTTTGTAAGATCCGGCTGGGGGCCCAAAGCCTGACTTTTCAGGGGGGTCCTTATATTCTCTGTTCCGCCACTGAACCATGTGTATGTTTTAAACTACGATCAGATGATGACGATGACACTTGAGCTAGTATCTTATTTTCAATTCTTCTACTTCACACCACGCGAAGACTTTTAGAAGTTCAGTTACATTTGAAATGAAGCAGTCCTCAAAACTCTACTTGGTTCTTTTTCGCTAAATCAGGCTTCAATTTAAACATTCCTGGTTGATCTTGGACTTTCAACGAGCAAGCCTTTTCTTAGACAATTTTCAAATACAATGCACAAAAAATCTGGAAGTCAATCACTCCCTGGTACCAATAAAGAGCCTCCGTATAGAGGAAATGGTGCATGTTAAATCAGTCAAGACTCAAAGTCATCATGTTAATATAGAGTGAAAGTTTGGAGAATGGGATGGAAGAACAGGTATCGTCCTCATCACTTCAACATCGTGTTCCTTCAGAGTGTAAACAATCCATTAACTCTCCCTTCAAGATGAAAAAATGAGTGAGTGAATATTAACATCGTACTATTCAGTTGGCGACGTACCTCGTTATTTTGAACCATGGTCAAGTGACGAGGACGACACCTGAGTTGCCACCCCTTCTCTTAACTTCCACACCAAGTCAACGGGAGGACACTTGAGCCTCGACAGATTTAACGTGCATCGTCCCCCTACACGGTAGGTATTCAGGGCTCGAACTCCTGACACGCCCGCCACGAGTCCGTTACCTTAACTACTAGGCTACCGCAGCCACCCCTTCAAGATGAAACGAGTTAAGATGAAATTTCAGTTATTTCCTTATTTTTATGCACACAGTTTTGTTTCCGTATAGGTAGAAGACACCACTATCAAAACACCTCTTGTCAAAACTGTTACATTTCACATTGTATGGAAACTGTGAAAACATAATACAGCAGGATTTTTTTCATTGTGTATATAAAATTGAAAAAAAAAAAACTTTTTCGAGTCAAGAATCAAAAAGATTTTGATCAAATATCTATTAGATAGTGCATTAAAATTTCCAATTAACTGGTGCGATTATTCCTTGATAGTATTTTTAGCTGTTGAATAAAAAGCATGTAATTTCCAACTACGAATATTTTCTTTTTATTGTTGTTTATTATTGAATTTCCAAAAGATAAGTGCCAGACATTTGACTCCAATTTAACGAACAAAATGTTCGGTTTCGAAAAATTCCAGGGAACCAGGACATCATATACTTTCAAAAAATCGATATTCAATTTTAGTTTTAAAAAATAGTGCATATTTTTCTGAACCTAAAAATGTATAATACTTATACGTTTATTGATAAAATAGCCCTAAAATATGAAAAATAAAAATGTAAACAAATGACCACGCCCCTTTTGTCCTTTAGTTTTTTTCACTTTTTTTCCAAAGCATATTTTTTTTTGCATTTAGGTACATTTTTTTAAAAAAACTATTCCACTATAAGATTCCAGATTTTTTATACTTCTATACAAGATGCCTATGCATATAGTAAACCTTTTTTTTCTATTAAAATAGTGCCTAACTTTTTAAAAATGGTTTTATGCATAAAAAAAGCAGAAAAATAGAATTTTTCCAAATTTCAAAGTTTCATAATTTTTTTTAAAGAAACTATACTAAATTTTCACTAAAAAAAATAGGTTCACTGTCTTTTTTGTATTTTTTTATATATGTGTAAAAAATATTTTGCATAAAAAAAAAGATACTTTTTTAAAAAATAGTACCTAAACATAAGTATGTATTATGAGTTCTCAAAAATTATGTATTACTTAAATTAAGTAGAAAAAAAAAACTTTTGAACTAAAAAGCTATTTTTGTAGTTCTACAGAATAATTAAATTATCTTTATTAAGAACGTAAAATATCTAAGCTCTATTGGAAATTTTTAAAAATATATGTCTCATACACAAAGAGTCTTAATTTGGGAATTTTACACTTCCCAGCATGTCCCCTTAAGCCGAGGTCCGACCGTAGACGTAAGCGGTAACTTTTTAAATCTTTATTTTAATATTTATACAAAAAGTATCCAGAACAATAAATATCTCACTTTCACAAGGCCATAATGCTGATAACCCTGAAAAGGTTCTGAGGTATCGAAAGTAGCTATGTGCGCAGAAAGTATTTATTCAATTCATCTTTATAAAGCTGACGGAGAACGCCATTAGCATACTCAATGAGAGATTCTTCCGCTGCCCCGGTGTGTAAGGATGACTTAATTTACATGCAGCGCGATATTTAAGGAAAGGAATTTCTTTTTTGTATGCTCTAAAATGAGATTCTTTGAATTACTCTCGCATTTTGAAAGAGATGTATTGATAAGCGTCGAGGAAGACACCATTATGGGCATTTATATGCGAGAAGCGCCATCGTGACCCAGAGAGGATATGGGTCGTTTTAAAGATTCCAATGTATAGAAAGTAAAGCGGAAAGAATGTTTTCCGGTTAAGTAGTTCAAATTAATACTATTTGGCTGCCTTTCAAAAGATCTCAAGTTCGATACCTGGTTGTGGGAGACTTCCATCATATTTCGATTGCTTACTGAGGTATGAAAAAAAAATGACATCTGTATAACGCGATTTAAAAAAAAAAATGATTGAAAAAATAAAAATAAATTTATTTTTTTTTTTGCTTGATAACTTGCCCAAGATACAGCTTATCATTGTTCCTTCATTTTTTTTTGGAGTGTGTGTGGGGGTGTTGTTCTTTTTCTTAAAGAGATATAAATTTTGTATCACAACATGTTTAGAAACTTAATCGGGTGTAAAGTATTCAATTATTATATTCTACATCATAGGTTCTCAACGTGGGCGATAACGCCCCCTTGTCGGCGTTTAAGGCTTCCAGGGGGGCAGTAAAAGACCCAGAGAGAATTAAGGGGCGTTCAGATGACACGGAGGGGCTTGGAAAGATTAATCAAATATAGTCTAAAGGAAGGCTAAAA